TATTTCCCACCCCTCCAGGAACCCTCCAGCTCCAACAACAGGAAGAACTCGTTGCGGGGAGCTCAGTGAAAGCAACCTGCCTGGCGAGCAATTCTTTCAGGGAGTGGGGCTGGGGTCCAGGAGGATGCAGGACCAGTGCAGACCATGGTCTGCAGGGAGATGCTCTGGTGCAGGGTGCTTCTGGGGGGAGTTTTGGGTGGTGGTGGGGACCCCTCCTGTTCTCCCATCCTCTGTGCTTTTTGACAGCTTGAAGAGGGGCTGGGAGCTTAATTGCAATAGGATAAGCATGGAGGGAAACTGGCCGCCATCTGAAGGCATTAATAAATCTCTCCGATGTTTGCAGACTCGATCATCCCCGAGCCAGTTCATCTCCAGCTGGCAAATGGCTCACACCGCTGCGCTGGCAGAGTCGAGGTGTTTCACCAGGAGGAGTGGGGAGCCGTCTGCGACCATGGCTGGGATAAGCAGAACGCCGAGGTCGTATGTCGGCAGCTGGGCTGTGGGATGGCGCTGCCAGCATTGGAGGGCGCGGACTTTGGTGCCGGACCCCCACGCATCTGGCTGGACAATGTGAACTGCCAGGGGACGGAGACAGACCTTACAAAATGCCAGGCGAGCCCATGGGGACAGAGCAGCTGCAGCCACGGAAAGCACGCCAGCGTGGTATGCTCAGGTGGGTTTCACTCCGGCACGAGCAGTGGGTCAGGATGCGCTGGGAATTTGCCCCATCCCAGCTGGGAGCAAGATGACAACTTCACCCCACTTGCTTCTGGGTCAAGTACCCCTAAACCCTTTGAGAAGTTCCTCCGTGAGGTGGGGATGAGATGTTGTGGGTTCAGAGGCGATGTGACCATGCAGCACTGGCTACGTACCAAAACGCAGGGTCCTTCCTCCTCCTGTGAAGGGGCTGGATGCTCTGAGCATCTCCCTGCCTGTTTGCAGGCTCAGTTGTTTCCAGCTTTGCCCCGGTCCGGCTGGTGGATGGCCCAGGTCGCTGCGCCGGGAGGGTCGAGGTGTTTCACAATGAGAAATGGGGGACGGTGTGCGATGACAACTGGGACTTCGTGGATGCCAAAGTGGTGTGCCGGCAGCTGGACTGCGGGATGGTGGTATCAGCTCCACGGCGGGCTCACTTCGGGCAGGGACAGGGCCCCATCTGGCTGGACAACGTGCGCTGCATGGGGACTGAGGCAGCGCTCTCCGAATGCAGAGCCAAGAGCTGGGGTGTCCATGCATGTGAGCATGAAGAAGATGCCGGCGTGGTATGCTCAGGTAACCACCGCCCGTTGTGGTGCTGGGAGCACCACAGCAAACCTTACCACGTCCTCCTGCACTGCAGTTTTAGTTTGCTTTCCCCTATGGGTGCAAGGGCTTGTGACGCAGGAACAGTTTGCAAACAGCCTGGAGACCCTTTGCTTTGAAGTCAGCCCCTCGTGGTCCGTCCTGGTGGAAGAGGGCAGCTGTACGCAGACATTAAAGCCTGAGAAGAACAAACGCCTTGCCCATTTGCACGGCTATCGCTAAAAATGTAGTCTCCAGCATGCATTTGGCTGATGTTCTTTATCACAAACCCTGGCAGTTAGCACGGGCCAGAGACCATTCCCATCAGGCAAATTACAACATGGCCATGTACTTCTTCACAGCAGGGCAGACTGCAGTATGAATGGGTCTTCTCCCATTACAGTCAGGGAGGACTCTCCGACACCTTTGGTTGATCCACGGTAGATGTACCCTGCGATGCGCAGAGCTGCATGAGCCCATCTCCCACCCCTCTCTCTCTTCTCCAGCTCTGACTTTCTGCCAGAGGAACCCCACAGCCCATTTCAGCGACTGTTAAGAAGCTGGGGCCACTGGGTTGCAACCAGGTTGCTTAATATCAGAATGGACTTTGCTTAATACCGAGGTGTCACTGACTGAGACAGCCAGCGTTGAATTCAGTCACCCCAGCATGGGAAGGTAGCATCTCACCCTAGCTGGGCTAAGAGATGCTTACAGAAAAACCTGTGCCCTTGAGGAGCAGCAGTTAGAGGGCAGGTGAGGTATCCTGGGAGTCCCAAATGGCACAAGGACACCTACATCTTGGCAACTGGACCCTGCCCTCTGTGTCTGCTTTAGGAGGGCAAACTATATAAGGTCCATTGACTATAGTCTGGTCAAGCCCATGCTAATCGAGCCTTGGGCACCACTTGGGCCAGTTCACATCACACCTCAAAGGTCTGCCCTCTCTGTCATCGCAAAAGCATCCTTGACCCACAAGGTGTTGCACAAGAGAATTCTTGACCCCCAGGGCTGCTCAGCCTCTGGTGTAAATCTATTGCTGGCAGCCAGAGGTTTCACAGGGCAGAACGTGTGTATGCTCCTTACACGTCTCCTTAACGTGTGTACGCTCTCTGACGTTGTAGGATCGGGCATTTCCGACCTCGGAAGCCTCCGCCTGGTGAATGGCTCAAACCCGTGCTCCGGGAAAGTTGAAGTGTTTCATGATCAGCGCTGGGGGGGCATCTGCACTGACGGATGGGACCTGGCTGAAGCCCACGTGGTGTGTCAGCAGCTGGGCTGCGGGGCAGCGCGCTCGGCCGTGGAGTCTACCCAGGCTGGGACAGGCGACGGCCTGATCTGGGTGGATGCCGTGGAGTGCACTGGGACGGAGGGGACCCTCCTCGAATGCAAGGTCAAGTTGTGGGGCACCGAGAGCTGCAAGTCGAAGGGGCACGCAGGTGTCTTGTGCTCTGCAAGCACAGGTCAGTGGCGGTGAGTCGGGGATCAGTCCTCTGGGCGAGGCCGTGCAGTCTGACCAAACTCGCCCATCCAGCTCAACCACCCCTTGTTCCTGCAGTCCCACCAGGGAGCACAAGGTGTTTTCCATTTCGAGGTCTACCAGTCCCTGGCTTCCCTCAGGCAAAGTACTTGGAAATCCCAAGCCTGGGATTCCCAGAAATCCCAAGCCTGTAAGGTGTAGGCTTTCCATCACACACAAAGAGCCCCGGCACACCAGGGTTGCAGCTGCCTGGGTGGGGTTTTTTTGATCGGTGCTATTGCACGGGGAGTACCTTCTCTTCACCCAGCTGTTCCTTGCTCAGGTGCATGATGCACTTGTTGCCTCCTTGCCTGCTTGTCACCGTGAGGATAGTTGCATCACGGGAGCTCCTCGGTAACTTGGCCAGGTTCACAATCTAGTGGGCATGGTCCTAGCAGCCTTGTCCCAAAAGGTGTTCATGCATGCGCACTCAGGGTGCAGCACTAGCAGAAATGCCACATGCTGGTAGAGAATTTTATAAGACCCCTTGCAAGGGGAGGTCCACCGCATTGCCAGCCACTGCACAGGCAGGCATTTCTGGCCAGGATTTATTGTCCTCCAACTCTGTTTTTAGACTTGGACATGGGGAGCTTGGAAGCCCTGCGGCTGGTGAACGGCCCGCACCGCTGCACTGGGAGGGTGGAGGTCTTTCACAACCAGCAGTGGGGGACCATCTGCGATGACGGCTGGGACCTGAAAGACGCAGCTGTGGTGTGCCAGCAGTTGGGCTGTGGGATGGCTGTGTCAGCTCCAGGTTTATCTGTGTTTGGGCAAGGATTTGGCCCCATCTGGCTACATGGGGTGAGTTGCTTTGGGACAGAAGCCACCCTCGCTGAATGCCCAGTCAAGCCTTGGTCAGACCATGCATGTAACCACATGGAAGGTGCCAGTGTTGTCTGCTCAGGTAATCCTCACCACACATTTTTACTGTAAGACAGACCAAGCCCCATCCTTCTGCAGGCTGGGAACCATTTGGGAGCGAGTTGGCCGACAAATTACCCAGACTGGTAGAAGCCATGATAAAATAACAGCATCCAGAGACATGGAAAAATACGATATGCTGGGAAAAAGCAGCATGGCTTAAGATGTGCCTCAGTGTCTGGTACCATTGGAGGTGTCCAAGATGTTTTCATAGGGTGAAACACCTGCACCCTTTGGGAGCGGTAGCTGGAGGGTGCAGGGTGCTGCTTGAGTGGCAGGAGATGCAACTGTGCCCTGCCCCAGCTTAAAGGCAGGCAGAGTGACTTGCGCTGCCAGCACTGTAAAATGCCAGGATATGCAGAAAGATGCACTGGAACCAGCTGCTCTCATGGGATACACCACTTTTGAGCTAGCTGCTACCAGTGTAGCCTTGGCCTTAGAAGGTCAGCCTCCACGGACAAGTCAATGTGGCAGTCAGAAGCAGTCAGGACAGGGGCAACCAGAAGAAGATCCTTTGCCATTTCCTCTAGGCCAAAAAGTGGGTAGAGCCAGGCAAACCTAGGTGATGCAGCTTCCAAGCAAGGGGGAAGGAAAGCACGGAGAAACACTGGGAAGGACCCTTGTGCATCCCTTCTTCCCAGCACAGTGTCCCTCAGGTGGAGACATGCACTTTCTCCTGTCTTGACCTCTGAACCAGGGTGCAACTACCCTCAGGGTGCAACTTACGAAAGGGATCTTCTGCAGCTCTTCCACCCTGCAAAAAAACCCCTGTGCTCACTTTGCTGCAAGTCCCTGATAAAGGGCAAGGGACGTACAAGCTCGCTGCAGCAATGCCATCCAGAATTGCCGCAGGGATGTCCTGCATTCTCCGGCCTAGCAGGTGTTAAGACACACAAGCATATCCCTAATAATGCCCCATTTTGGGTACTTTTCAGGCTCAGGGATTGCCAGCATCCCCAGGCTTCGCCTGGTGGGTGGTTTGAACAAGTGTGCTGGGAGGGTTTTATATGTTTATATGTTTTATAACTATGAGTTGGGGACAGTCTGTGATGACAGCTGGGACCTGGGAGACGCGGCGGTGGTCTGCCGGCAGCTGGGCAGTGGGGAGGCCCTCTCAGTCCCCACCTCAGCTCAGTTTGGGTGGGGAGCCGGCCCCATCTGGCTGGATGATGTGGGCTGCACAGGACAGGAAACTGAGTTCTCCGAGTGCCAAGCCAAGATGTGGGGCACCCACAGCTGCCACCGTGGGGGGGTCGCTGGCGTGGTGTGCACAGGTGAGAGCCGGGATGGGGGGAGGCGGCCCCCCTGCCGGTACCCAGGGGCAGGCAGCTGCCTCCCTTCAGAGGAGATGCTGTGTGCAGGGCTGGTGTAGAAGCTTCTTGCAGCTCTCACCCACGTGTATCTCCTGGACCTTCACATCAAGGCCAAGTGCAAGGTCCTGCACCTGGGACGGGGCAAACCCCGGTATCATTACAGGCTGGGGGATGAAGGGATGGAGAGCAGCCCTGTGGAGAAGGACTTGGGGGTACTGGTGGATGAAAAGCTGGACATGAGCTGGCAATGTGCTTGCAGCCCAGAAAGCCGACCGAATCCTGGGCTGCATCAAAAGCAGCGTGGGCAGCAGGTCGAGGGAGGGGATTCTGCCTCTCTGCTCTGGTGAGACCTCACCTGCACCACTGTATCCAGCTCTGGAGCCTTCAGCATGAGAAGGACATGGACCTTCTGGAGCGGGGCCAGAGGAGGCCACAGAAATGATGCGAGGGCTGGAGCACCTCTCCTACAAGGACAGGCTGAGGGAGTTGGGGTTCTTCAGCCTGGAGGAGAGAAGGCTGCGAGGAGACCTTATTGCAGCCTTTCAATATATAAAGGGACCTTATAAGAAAGACAGAGAGATTACCAAGGCCTGTAGTGACAGGAAAAAGGGCAACGCTTTTAAACTGAAAGAGTGGAAATTTAGATTGGACATAAAGAAGAAATGCTTTATGTTGAGGGTGGTGAGACACTGGCACAGGTTGCCCAGAGAAGTTGTGTATGCCCCATCACTGGAAGTGTTCCAAGTCAGTTTGAATGGGGCTTCAAGAACCTGACCTAGTGGAAGATGTCCCTGCCCACGGCTGAAGGCTTGGTCTTTAAAAGTTCCTTCCAATGCAAACCATTCTGTGAGTCTACACCGGAAGCGTTCAAAGTCTGGCTGGATGGTGTTTTGAGCAACCTGATCTAGTGGAAGATGTTCTTGCCCATGGAAAGTGGGTTAGACTAGATGGTCTCTAAAGGTCCCTTCTAACCCAAACCGTGCAGCCAGGCATCATGCCCAGGGTTTCGTCCCCCCCATTAAAAAGGCAGCACCCAGCCACGTCAATCCCCTCTGTACTCAATGCTACCAATGCCTGAAGGCTGGCCCTGCCCTGCTCCTCCCTGGAGCCATGTGGGATGCTGCGGGTGGGGGTGGTCCAGGGATGCGGGGGTGCCCTGCAACCGCATGTCCACCTATTTCCCTCTCCACAGAAGGAGCCAACTCCAGCTCAGGCAGCCTGCGGCTGGTGGACGGGCCACACCGCTGCGCCGGGAGGGTGGAGGTGCTCAACGCTGGGCAGTGGGGGACAGTCTGTGACGATGGCTGGGACATGGACGATGCGGCGGTGGTGTGCAGGCAGCTGGGCTGTGGCAGAGCTCAGGCAGCCCCTGGCCGGGCTCACTTTAAGCAGGGGATGGGGAGCATCTGGTTGGATGATGTGGCCTGCATTGGGAGTGAGGATGCCCTTGCCAAGTGCCGAGCCCGTCCCTGGGGGAATAATAACTGCAACCATGGAGAAGATGCCGGCGTGGTGTGCTCAGGTACGTCCTGGTCCTGCAACATGGCGTGTCCTGGGGGGCCGGGGATCCATCCTCCATCTCAGTGCCTCCAGGGTGATGCTGCAGCGGGATGGTCAAGCCCTTCCGAGGTGGGAAGTCCTTTTGCCCCAGCCTTGGGCATTGCCACCAGCACCATGCAGGTCCTCAACCCACCGTGACGTTTCTGTGGTTCTTCCAGGTGCTGGCACAACCAACACATCGACTGTCCGGCTTGTGGACGGCCCACATGGCTGCTCTGGGAGGGTGGAGGTCTTTCACAACGAGAAATGGGGGACGGTCTGCGACAACG